TTACCTCTTGTTTAGGTAAGTATCTTCTTTTGTTGGTGTCTATACTCAGCTAGTTTCTAATGTTGACTAATCTGTCTATTACTTTTAGATACCTTTCTGGTAGATTATTCATAGCAATCTTGCTTGAGAATGATTCTTTTATGCCCAGTATAGGTAGGTACAATATTTCATTGTTTTCTTTATAACTTAACCATCTGATTATCATTAGGAAGATGATTATAGTGCAGAGGTCTAACGTTATTATTTTTTTATTCGTCTTTTCTTTCTTTAGTTGGCTACAATTTTTGGGTACATCAGTCTGGCGTAGGACTTTCTTTTTGTTGAGGTCTTGCGCACTTGGTTTTTCTGGGACTAGAGTGTTATAGGTGACGATTACATGATTGTGAGTTGTAATAGAACTGGATTTCTCTATTAGAAATGTATCCTTTTTCTGATCTTTCAACTTTCCTTTATTATGTTTTCTTTTCTGTTCTAGCGTATTAACACTTTCTTTTTCTTTTGATTCCTCATAGTCTTAGGCTCCTGAACAATGTTAGTTTTAGAAAGTTCTTCCCATTAGATTTTCAGCAAGTAATCTTCATCTTTATTATAGCACTTTTGAACTGGCTTCGATATTTGAATTGAAGACTTTTTGAAGTAATACTCTTGGTCTGTTAGGCCTATTTGGATGTAGAATGGGAGATATATTATTTGTTCTTCTCCTTTAATTTGGTTTTCTGGTGCTTCATTCTGGGACTTTAGGATGCTACGATTTGGTCTTCGGGGTTTGTTTTGACGGAGTTGAACCAATTCTTTCTCTTGTGCTTCTAGTCAGCTAGACAAGAATGTGAGTCATCTATTTAACTCCCATATTTCTTTCTTTAGGTCAAGTTTATTATTAGATGTTGAGACCCAATATTTTTGTCATGGTGGGTTCTTTTTATTAACCTCTTTGCTTCTATATTCCATACTAACATTTTTTTCAATATTATAGACCTCGAAGCTATTGATGCAAAAAGGATTTCGCTTTTGACAGAAGTTCATCCTTTGGGCTTGGATAAGTATATGGGAACGTGGAATATTATAATTTCTTTGGTAGTTATTTTGTTCCTTCTAACTCTTTCGTAATTATAATAGGAGGTTCCATACAATAGTCGAGTATTAGAGGGCATTTGAATAGTGGCGATAAGGCTTTTCTTTAATTTTTTATCTAACTGTTTAAGATCTCTAGATAGTTTTTTAAATTTTTCTTCCATCTCTAGGCATTGGTAATTTATTCTGATTTCAGGTTGGTCTGCAGATGAAGTTAGTTTATTCGGCGTTACATATCTCACAGTTACCACCAAATTGTTACTAGTGGAAATATCAACCAACAGACAACAACAAAATAATACGACTCTGTCAGTCTGGAATCAGGTTTCTTGTATAACGTAAAGAAATATCTAAGTAGTTAAGGCTCTCTTAGCTGAGGCATACAATTTGGTCGAGTAAGATAAGCTCCTTCTTATCTTATAGCTTTCTCTAAATCGCTCTTTATACAAGTCACCAACTTATTTCTTTGATTATGCAAGGGGTTATTTAATTAATGAGGACCGGGTTTGAGGATACAAGGGTTCTACTGGCATGGGTCATGTGAATCACAGATTTATTAGATCAGAGATTTTATTGAATAAAGGAAAGCGATAATTTATGCAACTAATTTATTTAACGATTAGAACTTTGTAAATATAATTTAATAAAGAACAGAATTTTAATTATTTAATTATGAAAAGATCAATTTTATTTATTTTAATATTTATTTAATGTTCGAAACCTGAAGGTTGTTCTTTACCAGAGCAAAACCAAAGGTCTTTTATAACTTTTGGTTCTTTACATTTTTAACACTATTTACATATTTTTCTTATTTTCTATTTTTTACACAATAAACTAATTTTACTGTATTTACATTCTTGATAGTTTTTACAGATGTTACGAGATTAACAATTATTACTGGTTTGACAATTTTTACATTATTTACAATTATACTAAATTTGGTAATAATTGCTATCTCATATCAAAACTTCCTGTGACAATTCCCTCACAGTTAATAATGAGTTCTATAAGTTAATTATGAAGTAGTGGCTGGATCTCTCTAGGTTTCAGGGTAATGACTATAGAGATCTTAATTAAGTATCTTCCTACGAGTCATTCTTTTCTTAATTGACTTCTCAACTAATTATTGTCTTCTTTCTTCAATACAGGTTTTTCTTATAATGTGCCCCTCCTCGCACATTAAAGTTATGACCATCTCTATTTTGTCACGTCCTTTTTCAAAAAAAAAATTTTTTTTTTTTTTTTTTTTGGAAATTTCTTGCAGCTTTAATCCTTAGCACCACTTATTTGAGGTTTCGGAACCTTGTCGGGATCTTTATTTACCTCTTGTTTAGGTAAGTATCTTCTTTTGTTGGTGTCTATACTCAGCTAGTTTCTAATGTTGACTAATCTGTCTTTTACTTTTAGATGCCCTTCTGGTAGATTATTCGTGGCAATCTTGCTTGAGAATGATTCTTTTATGCCTGGTATAGGTAGATACAATATTTTATTATTTTCTTTATGACTTAACCATCTGATTATCATTAGGAAGACGATTATAGTGCAGAGGCCTAATGTCATTATCTTTTTATTCTTCTTTTCTTTCTTTAGTCGGCTACGATTTTTGGGTGCATCAGTCTGGTGTAGAACTTTCTTTATATTAAGGTCTTGCGCACTTGGCTCTTCTGTGACTGGAGTATTATCAGTAATAATTGTGTGATTGTAGGTTGTAATAGGACTGGGTTTCTCTATTGGAAATGTATCCTTTTTCTGATCTTTCAACTTTCCTTTATTATGTTTTCTTTTCTGTTCTAGCATATTAACACTTTCTTTTTTCTTTTGATTCCCCATAGTCTTAGGCTCCTGGACAATATTAGTTTTAGAAAGTTCTTCCCATTGGATTTTCAGCAAGTAATCCTCATCTTCATTATAGCACTTTTGAACTGGCTTTGATATTTGAATTGAGGACTTTTTGGAGTAGTACTCTTGGTCTGTTGGGCCTATTCAGATGTAGAATGGGAGGTATATTACCTGTTCTTCTCCTTCAATTTGGTTTTCTGGTGCTTTATTCTGGGACTTTAGGATGCTACGATTTGGTTCTTGGGGTTTGTTTTGATAGAGTTGAACCAATTCTTTCTCTTGTGCTTTCAGTTAGCTAGACAAGAACATGAGTCGTCTATTTAACTCCCATATTTCTTTCTTTAGGTCAGGTTCATTATTAGATATTGAGGCCTAATATTTTTGTTGTAGTGAGTTCTTTTTATTAATCTCTTTGCTTCTATATTCCATACTAATATTTTCTTCAATATTATAGACCTCGAAGCTGTTAGTGCAAAAAGGATTTCACTTTTGACAGGAGTTTGTCCTTTGGGCTTGGGTAAGTACATGGGGACACGGAACATTATAATTTCTTTGGTAGTTATTTTTGTTTCTTCTAACTCTTTCGTAATTATAATAGGAAGTTCCATACGATGGTCGAGTACTAGAGGTTGTTTGGGCAGCAACAATAAGGCTTTTCTTTAATTTTTTATCTAACTGTTCAAGATCCCTAGATAGTTTTTTTAATTTTTCTTCTATCTCTAGGCATTGGTAATTTATTCTGATTTCAGGTTGGTCTGCAGGTGGAGTTAGTTTATTCGGCGTTGCGTATCTCATAGTCACCACCATATTGTTACTAGCGGAAATATCAACTAACAAACAACAACAAAATGATCCGACTCTGTCAGTTCAGAATCAGGTTTCTTGCGTAATATAAAGAAATATCTAAGCAGTTAAGGCTCTCTCAGCTGAGGCGTACGATTTGGTCGAGTAAGATAAGCTCCTTCTTATCTTATAGCTTTCTCTAAATCGCTCCTTATACAAGTCACCAACTTATTTCTTTGATTATGCAAGGGGTTATTTAATTAACGAGGACCAGGTTTGAGGATACAAGGGTTCTAC